ATTGAATTCTTAGAAATCATCAATCTCCAGCTTGTATGGAAATGACTTATTTAAGTTTGTTAATGCTTTTGGGTGCACAGCTAATTTGAAGAGTGAGGCGCTGGTTTTCAAACCCACCCACCCCTGTGAACACTGCTTAAAAACAAATGTTACAGGTAGCAAAAGCTTCAGAATCCTGAGAATGCCTGGAAAGTCACAAGGAATAAACTGCAAATGTAATCACTTTTTATGATATATATATATATATAATGACCAGATTCTTACTCAGCTTTATTACATTAGAGCAACATCTGCATATGTCTTCCCTTAAGTTCTAGGCTTTTCAGTCTACTTCGTACTTTTGCTGTATGTTGTTCTATGTATTTGATTTTATGTTTTATTTGTATGTTTTGTGACATTCTGGAATCCTCTCGATGGATGGCGATTATTACTTTTTTAACACTAAAGGACGATGTTAACACAGAAATAATAATGGTATGTTATTAAGATACAAGTTAACATTTCATAGTGAATATATACAAGAGAGTTCAAAGAAAGCAATGCAATTGCCCTCAAGATAGATAATATTTAGCAATGGAGTCTTGAGGAAACTTGGCTCAATTTTCCATGCACTTTCCTAATTTGTTTCCTTTGATGGACAACAATTTAAAATAAAAGGTGATTTGGAGTGATGCAATCCATGACTTGACATATGTAGTATGCAGTGAGTTGCTCCAGATGGACAGACAGTGACAGCTGTTCAAAGGAGGTTCTTGAGTAACCAGCTAGAGAGAATGAAGGAAGGCTTGTGGAGAAGAAAAAACTGGTATCATGAGGGATGATCTCCACTAGGTATACAGTACTTAGAGGGTGGTATGTTGAAAGCCTTGCTTTCTACCACGTGGGTACTAATTTCTTTTGCCCTGCTGTTGCCTTTGATCAAACAAGATTCGAGGAGTTTAAAGCGGCAGAAAAGAGTTGTAAAACTAATTTTGACCAAGGATTACAGGGAGATGAGGATGTGTGCCATAGGCAATGAATATCCAATCTCAGTGTTGGAAGCGGTTCCATGAATGCATGCAATGAAACGTCTTTTTTAAAAAACCACAACCCTACTCTTCAGTCTGTGGCTAATTCAAGCATTTAGGCAAGACTACTCAATGGTGCATTGCCTTTTCACATGCAAGGAGAACTTTAAATAAAGTAGGTTTTGCTGGTGTTGGCGCCCCCCCATACAAGTAATCCATGCACATAATTCAAAGATAAATGTAGTGCAGTCTATGGCAAGCTTCTGCAAGCTGGTGCCCTCTAGATGATTTGGACTACAATTCCCATCAACCTCAGCTGTGCTAGCTGGGACGGAGAGTTGTAGTCTAAAAAACCAGGAGGACACTAGGCTGGGAAAGACTATGGAGAACTGTACCATGTTTTCAGTTAATTTTCTGAGCGACAACTCCAATATGTTGAATTCCCACTATTTCCTGCCTCTTCCTCCTTTCCTGTTCTCTTAATTCCTCCCACACTATCCAGACATCTTGCCTTTAAACATTTTATTTACTTTGGCCTGATGGCTGTAATTCAGGAATCATTTGTAGAGCTGATTAGTAAATTAAGAGTGTGGGTTGGGTTGGCTCTTACACAGATCTTGGATTGTAGTATTAAGCAAGCAGTCATATGCTTGCTTTACCATGTGCTTACAACTTGACGTGCAATGATACCACATAGCAGCTGCATGACGACTTTACATTTTCGGAGTTCTACATGGAGCCATTCATCTTGCTTGCTCACCACACCAATTCAAGTCAGCCCTGAATGTGAATTGCAGGCTTCAGAATGTTCCATCTTTCCGTTGATGGACTTTGGCTCTGAAGAGTGAATACTATTATGCAGAGTAAGCCAAAATACTTGGTGTGTGTGGATTGCTATTGGACTCAGTCACTCAACAATACCTCAGGGCTCAAAGAAATGGACTGAAAATGCAGAACTTTCTAGATAAAAGTTATTATCTAGAAATAACTTTATTGCAGTCCTATCCAATAAATGTCTATTCAGAAATATGCCCCAGAGGCAAACAAGTACCAGGGTGCAGTTTAGGTGGCTAAAGTGGGGAAAGTTACAAAATAAAATCTTAAATTTAAGTGATGCTAATATGGTTGCTTTCCTTGACTGCAGCAATTTAAGCCAAAGGCCAGTGATGGGTAACCAAAACTAAGCATTCTTTATTTCTTTTCCTCTTTCCTTTCCAGCTTGGAGAGAATTAGATTTAAGAATAAAGTCTTGCTTTGTTCCATTAGTTGCTTTCTAAATTTCAGATCACATTGGTTTAGGTCACAAGACTGGAAAATGTGTCTCCATTGCGTCTGGATTGTGTGCTTGTGTGTGTTTTACAAAGAAAGCGACAGATACCATTATACAAAACGAGGGAGTGGCATTTTATTCAATTATTAGTTCTCCCCCTGCTTATAAGCTGAAGATATACCTGCAAAACTTACAAATGTGCACCCGGCTTTGCATACGTCTCTGGAATTCCTTTTAAAAAACATGTACGTTATAATATCTAATTATACACATAAATAATTGGAACCAACATCTCTAGCTCTGCTCTTTACAGCTTGTCAGACAAGGCTAAAAAATTGAGAAAACTCGATCTGAATTACTCCTATGAATTGGAAAGGAGGATTTAGCAAGAGTTTCCTGTCAGATTCCTCTCTCTGACCAAGCTCTGCTTTAGGTATGAATGGAGAAAACATTTTGTTGCATAGCTACAAACACGCCTATTGTTTAGCCTTTGCTTACATTTAGGGTGCATGATTAATCCCATAATAGCAACCACACTTCTCTGACTGCCATACCTGTAATTATGCACCTGCTTGCCTTCATTATATTTTTTGAAAGCGAACACCAAAAAATTATGTGAATCTGCTCTTAAAATTTATTTTTTGAAGAGTGGCTAATAATTTTTTTTCTACAGCTGAGGGTTTTTGCACGAGAGCATCAACTTAGAATCTCATTTTTATTATGTATTTTGTTTCTTGTATTGTAATTTTATGTTGAGAACCGCCCTGAGATTTATGAATGTAGAGCAGTATACAAATTTAATAAATAAAGAAATAAAGAAGTGAATGTTTCTTGTTACCCCGCTCCTGCCTACAGCCCTCTGTACCACTCAAAAAGCTCTCCTAATGTCAAGTGAGGGGGGGGCTACTGAGGAAGAGGAAGATTTGCCTAAAATTGAAAAGACTTTTGCCCAACTGTGAGCAATCTGCTCCTCCTCCTCCTCCTCACCCCATGGTTCATCTTGCATTGTTCAGGAGAGCTGCCCAACCTCTAGAGAAGCTTTTTCTTAGGGTTGGCCCCACCATTAAGCAGAGTGAGGCAGTTGCATCAGGGGCAGGGGCAGGGATAGTGGCAGTGACTGCCCAGCCATTCCTTCTACCCCCCCCAGTCTTTCCCTTCTTCTGTAGGACAGAGCTGTGTGTGCCCTATATCCTGCCTTGTACCCCGTAAATGCAGAGGGTGCTAATCATCCAGTTGGTGTCTTTTAAAAAAACAACGATAATATATTTTATAGATTTTTTTGAACTTCAATAGAAGTACAAATAATACTTCCTCCTACCCTCCTCTCCCAAAGTGCCAGTTGATTTCCGTAGGTGGAATGAGGATAGCATCTTGTCTTATGCTTAGGGCAAGAAAATGTCTTTGGTCAGGTCTGTCTTTTTGACTGGTAGAAATTACTACGGGGGACAAGAAGTGATGAGGACATTTTCTCTCTTTGAATGGCCTTAAGTTACCATAATTTATCTGAGAATCCAGGGCAGTAGCTTTAGTCCTTATGCTTGTCTGTAAATAAAATGGAAGCAACCCCAAATATGAAAACAGTGTTGGGCTTTCCCAAGCCCCCACCATCACTAACAAAAAATATTATGAAATTGGTAGAGAAATAAATGTTTAACAAAGCTGTTCCCATTGCTACTGGGCACCCATACTTAAGGTAACAAAGGTTCCAGGCAAGTCTCCCTGGAGAGAGCATTCCACAAATGGGGAGCCACCACAGAGAAGGCCCGCTCTCATTGCCCCGCTCTGGACGTCTTGTGGAGGCAGCCCATAAAGAAGGGCCTCAGATTATGATCACAGGGTCTGGGACAGTCAGCTATTGCCAAGGTTAAGGTGACCTCAAGGTAAAGCTGCAGCCAACATATTTAGTGCCACCTAATATGTGGGATGCGGGTGGTGCTGTGGTGTAAACCACTGAGCCTTGGGCTTGCCAATTGGAAGGTCGGCAGTTTGAATCCCCGCGATAGGGTGAGCTCCCATTGTTCAGTCCCAGCTCCTGCCAACCTAGCAGTTTGAAAGCACATCAAAGTGCAAGTAGATAAATAGGTACTGCTCTGGAGGGAAGGTAAACGGCGTTTCCGTGCGCTGCTGTGGTTTCGCCAGAAGCGGCTTAGTCATGCTGGCCACATGACCCGGAAAAAACTGTCTGCAGACAAAGGTCGGCTCCCTCGGCCAGTAAAGCAAGATAAGCGCCGCAACTCCAGAGTCGCTCGCGAATGGACATAACTGTCAGGGGTACTTACTTTTACCTTTTTAAACACGTACACGTGGCTTCCCATTCCTCCTCTCCTAATGTGGGAAGATCATGTGGAACAAAACTTTAATAATTAGTTCATTATATATCTAGATGAATCTGTCATGATGCAGCAACCTTCTTTTGCCATGGTCAATTTGTTGCTTCCACAAATACTTAGATGTGCATGATCTCTAATAGAAGGGCAGCATTGTTTAAGAGACACAGTGATTGTATGTAAGCCCCTCTGGCAGCTTTTGGGGCTGATGAGGGTGGATACAAATGCTCTAAAGAAACAAATAATTTGTTTGCCCAATGGGATATTGAGGCAAACCTCGTCCGCCTTTTTCTTTCATGCTTATGGGTGACCTGATTATGTGTAAACGTGGAATCAAAGCATGGTTGTTAATTCTAGAACAGTTTAATACTGATTTCAGATCCTGTGACAAGCATCATGTTGAATACAGAAGAGACCACAATTTTACTACCATTTTTTTTAGTTCGTAGATTGATTTTCTTTCTTTCCAGGAACCTGAAGGCTGTCATTTGTAGTTACAATCCTATTAATGCGTATTTGGAAGTAAGATTTTATAGGATTGCAGCCTTGATCGAATTCTGCACAGAAACTAGCAAGAGAAACTGGCAGTCTGCAAACAGCCTTCTTCACTTGCACAAACATTTACTGTACTGCATGCACATTACAGCGGACGGTATCTATACCGTCTATATCTATATGGGTGTTTCATATATCCACAAAAACAAAATAGCTGAAGCTATCAAAAAATAATCCCCTCTCACTAGTCTTTTGAGTTAGCAGAAAAGAGCCTTATTGACCTTTCAGGTTTTCAGCCTGATTTTTGTTTAAAAACATTCTAAGAAAGGGGGCAACTGCCTGCCGCTCTCTTTCCCGCTCCCCTCCCAAGAGGATAGTCTGAGGCTGGGGGAGGCGGGAACACATTGGGATGTTCGCCTCTGCCTCCTTGTCTCTCCTTGCCGCAGTGCCTGCCGGGAATTGTGGTCCCGCTCCTCGATGCGTGCCGATTACTCCAGCAGTCGGAGGGCCAGGCCTCCGCTTCCCGAGACCCTTTGCGGGCGCCCGCGGCCTCCTGCCGCCTGTTTCCCGGATGTCGCTCTCGCCGGAAGAGAAGCGAGTTTCTTAGGGGGCCGGCCATCTTGTGTGGGCAGCAAGCGAGCGCGGAGGGGGTGGGCCAGGGGCCTGGGCAGCATCGGAGGAGGATCCCACCGAGAGGGGCCCATCATGCCCGGACACCTGCAGGAAGGCTTCGGTTGCGTCGTCACCAACCGCTTTGACCAGCTCTTGGACGACGAATCCGACCCCTTCGAGGTGATCCAGGCGGCCGAGAGCCGCAAGAAAGAGAGCGGCGGCGGAGGGGGAGGCGGCGGCGGCGGAGGGGGCCATCAGGGCGGCCGCGGCGGTGGCGGCGGGCAGGCGGCCCAGGCCAACTCCTCCTCAAGCGGCGGGTCGGGCCAGCCCGGCTCCGGCGGCGGGAGCGGCAGCGCGGCCAAGCAGCTGCGCAGGGAGTCGCAGAAGGAGCGCAAAAACCCTCTGCCGCCCTTCGCCTCCTCCTCCTCCTCTGGGCCTGGCGGCGCCGGCGACCGAAGAGAGGATGGCGGCGGCGGCGGGCAGCCTGGCTCCGCGCCCCTCAGGAAGGAAGGTAAGTGGAGGGAGGGGTGCCTCCTTTGAGGGGGGAAGCCAGGGCAGCGTCCCTTGCGCGGGCGGAGGCAGCCTCCCCCCCGTCACCCAGCGAGTCCGGCCCGCAGTAAGAGCCCCCGGCCCGCCTTTGACGCAGCACGTGGTGCTGGAGCAGGATCCCCCCCGCCCCTTCCTAGATAGATTTCCTAGAAAAGACACGATCCCTTTCCTCCATGCTTTATTAGGGCGGCCTGGGGTGCTGTGCTCGCGTTGCCTCGCGTGCAGGCAAGGGTCGACCACCTCGTGTCGACCAGGCGCCGTGTGAACGCGCGCCTCATGGGAGGGGGGAAACGGGGAGAGGCGGCTCGCTGGGCCCCCGCACTTCTTCTGAGGGAGGGAAGCAAGGAAGGTGAGGGTTGCTGGGCAGGTGTGTGTCAGGATACTTGGGCCTTGCCCGGGAAGGGGGGCAAGTTAGTGGCGGGCCTCCAATGTTTGTAACGGTGGCGCTTCTTTGAGAGCGAAAAAGCCTGCGAGCGGAGAGTGCTTTTTGCGAGGAGAGGGGCTCAGGTTTGCCAAGCTGCAAGCGCGCAGGCAGCAGCGTCCTGGATTGCCGCTGCTAATGAAGTTTAGCCCATTTGCACCTGGCCACGTGCGTGGCCCGCGTGTTGCTTGGCTCCAGCTATCTGCTGCTGCCGCCTACTAGGGGCTGAGGGAAGAGACAAAATGGAGTGAGCCCTTGGTGTGCTTTAAGTTGGGCCTTGCAGGCTAACGTGAGAAAGGCACTTTTTGAATATAGGTCCTAAGTTTTAATTGCAGGCATGCCGCCCAATGCTAGGTATGCTTATTAGGACGTAAGCTTCACTTCAGTAGGTGTTATTTCCAGTTGAGAGCGACTAGGATTTGCCATGGAGGTCTCTCTTTAGTTCAGTGTTTGCACTTCTTTTCTGATGTGGATATCAAATGAGTTGTACATGTTCTGAGATGAAATTTTAAGAACTGTGCACTGCTGTGTGAACCTCTCACCCCTTTGTAACTTGTGTAGTATGCAGAACACACCAATTTTTTGTTTTAAAGTTGGAACCTAAGAAAGTATTGATATTTTTCTGTCACTGCACTAATTAAGGAACCCACATGTTTAATGTGATTAAGATTACAGTTACCGCGGAATACGTCCTAATGAATTCAGTGGGACTTATTTCTGAATAGGCACATAAAGGTTTGGGCTATAAATGTCTAAATTTTCAGGACATTTGGTAAATGGTACCCAGCTTCATGGTGATAATTGGGTTTATTTCTCTGAACCTGAATAAGACAAAAAGAACCATGTGTTGCACTGTTTTCCCATGTACTTTCATTAGGAGGGAGAACCGTGGGCCTGTAACTTGATGATAAAAATTAAGTGTAAAGTTGTAATTGAGTTGTGACATATACAACATTCTAAAGTACATAAAGTGAACAATTAAGAGTTGGTTACAAATGAAGTAAACACTTAAAAAAACCCTTTTGTGTATTGGGCTTAATGCAGTAACATTTTTCTTAAGACTGGACTGCTAGTGTGCATTTTCCAGATTACTTGCTACAAATGAATAGCTACTTAGTGTGATTAATTTACTGCTTTATGCTTACAAATAATTTGCAAAAAGCATGAAGTGTGTTCTTCTTTCAAAAATTGCTTTAGTCCTTAAGCATTTTCTTGATCATGGGAACGCTGCTGTATCCCAACAGCAAATGTGCTAAGATTTTTGAATAGCACAGACCTGACATCTGTTAATTGACAGTGTACTAATGTCATAACTACCGTCCAAAGTATTTGAGAACCTGATAAATAAGGCACTTCATTTATTATTTATATGCTATGAAATAAGCATTTGAGCTGTAATCAGTAACTGCTAGTCCTTGTGTCATATGCATCTTTTTAAACTGCTTGTTGGCCCAATTATGGAGGCTCTTAATTTCTCTTCCCACCACCAGCTTGCAGTTGTACTGTAATCTTGTGGTGACTCTCTTTCAGCAGGGAGGGAAAATTGAAGAACCTTGTAGATTTCAGCTAGACTATGAAGTTACCAGGTTGAGCAAAAAAAAGAAAAAAAATGAGGGGGAAAGGGGACTTGTGAATATTGGAGTAGTGGCAGCAGTAGCATGTGGCTTAGTTAGGTGTTGGTGGGAGGATTGGCTTTTTGACAATTAACAAATAAATAAAACCGGCTATTGTAGAATGGCAACAGCAAATGAACGTTAAATTATTATAGCGAAATATTGGCTCAATGAATTAAGAAAAAACGTAGCTGTGGTCAGTGGATTAACCAATAAATAAGTATGTTTAGGTTGTTGATGATGGTCTGAGGGCACATGAGGTACCTGGATGACTGACTGTGCACGTGTATGATGCCTTGGGCTTCACAGTGGAAGAAAGGCAGAGGGTGTAAATGCAAGAATATATATATATTTAATAATAATTTGAAACACTTCTAAAGCAGTTCTGAAACTGCACAGTTCTGAAAGTAAAGTGTAAAATTTTGAAATTCAAAATTATTGTGGCTTTTAGATTTTTGTGCTTATAAGTAAAGGTTTTTTGTATACAAGTAGCTTTAAATGGTAAGTAAGGCTGTTCCTCAGGAAGGGAGATGACTTTGTAATTAACACATTAAAAACCAAGATTTGGAATATTTAAGTTTACACCCTGTGTTAATACGGATACAGTGTCTTGTGTGACCGTCAGAGGCACATATAAAATAGAGTGGCAGAATCTGAAAACTTAAATGTCAATACAGCACCAGTGCCTGTAGGAAGTAACTAGATGCATATTCCCATGCATTGAATGGAAGAACCTCTTTCATTCACAAAAGGGACTGAGATCCACTGGAGCCTCCAAACACCCCTTCCCACAGCCTCCCTCATGGTTCCAGAGGATTTTGCAGCCCTCTGGAGCAGCTTTTCAGGGAGCTACAGAGGGAACCTCTACAGTAGAGGTTCAGCAGGAACCATCCCTCCCTTCTTTCAGATGTCTTTTGAAAACTATTGTTTAGATCAGGGGTCACCAAACTTAGGCCTGCGGACTGGATAAGGCCCGAGGGACTCATTTATCCGGCCTGCGGCAATGCCTGCTGCCACCGCCCGCTCTTACCTGCGCTGTGCGGCTGCCCACTTCCGGGTCGGAGGAGCAGCGGAAATAGCTTGTGCACAAGCGTTATTTCCTGTGCACATCTGGGTTGGAGGAGGCCCATGCTCATGCGCACAAGCTATTTCTGGTGCTCCTCCGACCCGGAAGTAGGGTGTGCACACGCGTTTGGGCATGCGCTCCTCCACCTTCTGTGCGATCGGCGCTGGAGACACCAGCCCGAGGTGTGGTAAGTTTGCTGACCCCTGGTTTAGATAGACCTCTGCTATCTTAATTTTCTGTTTTTAAGCAGTTAGTATTTATTGATGTCCTAGTGACATTTTTGTGGATGCTTTTTGCTAATTTTATTTTTATAAGTTGTATACTACTTTGATACATTTTTATGAAAGTTTGGAAAATAAATTAATAAGGAGGAATGTTGCCTTTTCCCTCCTTCCTCTAGCAGAGGAGCATCTTGTGTGTAGAGTTCAATTCCCAAGCACTCCGGATTCAACCCTTTGAGTCAGTCATGCTTGAACACATTTTTACATGAACTTTGAGTGTGGAATGTTTAGCTTTAGTTAAGGAAACTCGGGTGACTTGTTTTTTGCGAGATATGGACTTTTTTTTTGACATTACAGTGGTACCTCGGGTTACAGAGGCTTCAGGTTACAGACTCCGCTAACCCAGAAATAGTACCTTGGGTTAAGAACTTTGCTTCAGGATGAGAACAGAAATCGGGCGGCGGCAGCAGGAGGCCCCATTAGCTAAAGTGGTACCTCAGGTTAAGAACAGTTTCAGGTTAAGAACGGACCTCCAGAACGAATTAAGTTCTTAACCCGAGGTACCACTGTAGTTCTTACATCATTGTCCATTTCCAACCTGGCTGGGGTATGTGTGCTCTGCTCATTGCAAGAAATAAAATATTTCAAATTTTAAGGCACTTAAATCCGTTTCAGGCCCATGGTTTTAAGTAAGTTTCATATATTAATGGGCACATATTTCTGTAATGATTCCTTCACAAATGTCTTTGTGGAGTTCTCAGGAAGTCTTGTGGCAAATTTCCTTTCCAGGGCCAGTCCTGCTTACCCTCTTGAGAGAGTTATGGTGTGTGCCATCAGCAATCTATGCCATTAGGTTTTTACAGTGTTCTTTTGTCCTAAGCCATGTCACGTCCTCCCATTTTCATGCTAATTTTTTGTTATAGCAATTAAAGATGTGGGTTTTTTGGGGGGGACCCATCTGCATATTATCACTCCTCTTCACATATGAGTATCAAACTTCCAAAGAGATGAACAATCTGTTCATGTTGATAACTCATTTTACCTTGGGCATTGATACAGTATAATGGGAGGGGGGTTGTTGTTGTTGTTGCTTTAAAAAAACCCTGTATTTATTAAGTGCACATATTGCCTGGTTGGCTTACAACCCATGTAAAAGACAATCTGTAATAAATGAAATAACCAAAAAATTGCAAAAGCTTTAATTGAAACAGGATAAAACAGCCCCGATTTTAAAAACAATTAAACAGTCTCCATAAATGGGAGGCTAAGTACAAATGCTGAAAATGGAAAAAAATATTAGTGCAGTTGATACAAACATAAAATCAATATTAAGAACATAACAATGGCCTGCTGTATCAGACCTATTGCCCATCTAGTCCAGCATAGATTTCCACTGTTAGCAAAGGGTCCCTGCTTGGCATAACATGAGAATTTCTCCTTCCTCAACACAAAAGAATGTGTTTGTGTCTCATTTTGAACAAGAGGACTGTTGGGGCCAGTGGCAATGGTAATTTATGGATCGCTTGTTATACTGTCACTTGAAGGGGGAAACTTAATTTTTAAAAAAATGTGCAGTAAACTTCCTTTGAAGAATGGTGGAACATAAGGGTTGTATACAGATTATAATTTTTCAGAAATTTTGAAGCCATTCTACAAAACTGGTATTGACAGAAGAAGAGTTCATCTCATATGAGTGCTGTGGACAACTATTAGGTAGTGCAAGTAATCCTGCTGACATGCTCTTGCTGCTATACTCTCATCCTGTGCTTTAAGACTATTTTTAAAGTTTGCTTTAAAGTTTGGTGATATTTTGGCCTAAAAATAATTTTATTATTTATACCCCGCCCATCTGGCTGGGTTTCCCCGGCCACTTTGGGCAGCTTACAGCACATGTAAAAAATGGTAAAACACCAGACGTTAAAATTTCCCAGTACAGGGCTGCCTTCAGATGTCTTCTAAAAGTCAGTTGTTTATTTCAGTCATTGACCAGTCTTGAGATCAAGGATCTGTTGATATGCGCACAAGTTTGTCCCAAATTATTCAAATTATTAAGTGACAGTTGTGTGTAATTCAGTGTATGTTATACTAGAGGGGAGAGTGTTGGATAACCATCAAACAAGCATTTCAACCGTAAACACAGCTTAAAATCTGCTGCTTCAGTGGCACAAGAGCTCCTTTTAACTGCCTTAAACTAGTTTTAACTAGTCTTGCTACTGCTGTTTTCTCCCGCTTTATATCCTGCACACTAAGGCATTTTACAAAGTATGTAACAGCAGCAAAAGAGCCACAGACTTACACTGTAATCTGCAGCTATATACTGCTTTAGGAAAACATTTCATCTGAATAATTGGTACTACATCTATTTTTTTTTTTAAAAATTCAATTATTCAAATACAGCTTTAAGTGCATGTCTAATTTATAGTACTTTGAATTCCACGAATTCACCATTTTAGCCTTAATTTCATGATAGCTAACATTCCTGCCTCTTCTCACAAATCAAAGCTTTCTCACCCTGCTCACTGGAGGTACTTGGAAGCAAAGATCAACTGCAAAGGCCAGTGTGACTGTCAGGACAAAACTCTTGCTTATGTCTCCACCACATTTTAAAGTAGACTTTGTAGAGGAGAAGCTCAGTTCTAGGCCTGCATAGACAAGCCAGGACAAGCTGCCACAGAGTGGCATAGAAGAGAAGAGTTGTCAGGGCAACATGAGCACATTCTAGCATGCAGTGACTTTGGAAGAACATGGATTGGATGAGCTGCCTGGGGATCTTTTCAGAGTTCAGGGGTTAGGAAGAGAGCGTGTTTGACCTGCTTGGGAGTTTGAAAGGGAGCAGGGAGAATAGACAAGGAGGATTTCCCCCATGATTCCTAAACATGTGGAAGGAGTATAATAACAGTGGTAGTTCAGAATTCCCTTTCCTGTAATCTGAAGCCGCAGCAGGTAGCCTCAATAGTGGACTTGATCAAGACATAGATATTAAAAGATCCAGTCACCAGTGGCAACCTCTTAAGTGGACCTTTGATCCATTTCTGTTCAGGGAGAGCAGATTTTATTTCTCCTCTGCTTAAAAGAAGTATTAAATTTTACCATTGGTTTTCATTAACAATACTGCTCTTCTAGCTACCTTTTGGTAGTAGCCTACATTTCTTAACTGTAATGTACAGGAACCTTCTGGAGTGCAGCAAAGTTCATTGCATGTAATGTTAGGCCATATTTTAGTGCTATGTGAATGAGCCTGAAAAGAGTGTTGGGCTCACAAGCTCCCTCTCTCATCGCTGGAAGGAGGACTATGGCATAACTTAATGTTGCTTTAAAAGATGTATTGAAACCAGGAATCCAGGTTTGAAATAATCTCTGAGTAGTTAAATAAGCTATCTTCATAAACCATGGGTGAGCATTACGTGCAAGTTGAGCACAGGAGCTCAGGTAGAAAGTTGACATACATGTCTGTTTCACAGTGAAGACATGGATTTAGCATTCAACAGAGTTCTGGAAGCCACTCCAGAGTATCATTTTAATGTTAATTGGGGGTTTAGGCCTTTTGGTTTTGCATATGATATTGGTAGTAAAGTAACGTTTGCAGCAGCCCTTGGTGCCAAGAGGAAAATCCTTTGTAACACATAAATTAATGTAAATTTCATTTTGTATTTGAATGGAAACCTTGGGGGCTGATACACAGAGTCTTTAAGACAGCCTCCCCCAACCAGATGCTCTCCTGATGCTGTGGACTACAGCTTCTTTGTCTCAGCCATTGTGACCAGAAGTGTGGTCTGGGATGATGGGAGTTGTTGGTGCTGTCACAACTACTCCTAAAGAAGGAAATAGCCACAAGGTAGGGCTTATTGCTGCTCTAGCAGCTTGCTTTTTGGAGCTATGGGTCCAACTTTCTTACCCTACCACAGCACAAGCCATCATCCAGAATAAATAACTCAGTACATTTTCATACGTAATGAGGAGAGTGATGGTCCTCTCCTTCCCTAACTATGGCTGCTTTCCTTACTCTTGTATAAGGCTGTGGAGTGGTATTGATAGATCAGATTGGAAACAGCTTCACCCCTTTACACCACCAGAGGAGCTTAAAAATAAGAAAACGTTCTTACGGGTTTCCTTTAAACAGAAAGAAGGGGTTTGGCAGTGTATGCTTCTAGGGGCTTAGATTTGACTTTTCCAGAGTACAGGTTGAAGTAGTATTAAAAAGCTGAAAAATTAGTTTGACCAGATGTCATTCTCCATGGTAAGCAGTCATTTTTATGTTCAAAAGCATAAAATACTATGATAGTAAAATACTATGAGACTATAATACTATGATTAAAATACACCCCATGAGGGTCTCATAACAATAGTCTGCATAACAAATACAGACACAAATCATACTAATTGAGTTTTAATTGCATACAAAAATATCTAAATATTACAGGTCATTGGTAAAACATCAGTTTCAGTAGTCTTTTTCAAGTTTCTCCAAATGAATTATAACTTCTAATTTCTTGAAGGCGGGGGTGGGGGGTGTCTTACCAGATTTCAGTGCATGATGTGCACTCGTCTTTCCAGGATAGTTGTGTGTTGTAATTCTTCGAACTTGATAAATCTTCTATATTGGAAAATTACTTCCTACAAGGTACACACAATTCTCTGCTTTATTATAGTCTATATCATGTTCTGTATGCTATCAAACTATCAAAGCAAAATTATACACACTTCCTAGTTTCCAGCTGTGCTTCAGTGTACAAAACAATCTGTCTGAAATGTTAGAACTCCTGACTGCCCCAAGGAAGGAATAAACTCACCCAATATCTCATATCTACTTATATCAGCTTGGGCAGGGGTAGCCAGTGAGCTGACTTCTAGAGGATGTTGGAATACAAGTCTCATCATCCGTCACAACTGGCTATATTGGTGTTGTATTCCCACCATGCCCCTTACACGGCGCAACCTTCATGCACACCTTTAAAGGCACATTGCCACATTTTTTGCCGTGTAAGTTTCAAATAACATGGTTATTTTTAAAATGAAAACTTCCATTAGTACAGCAGAGGTGTTACTTGGCTATAATTTGGATATCTTTATTTGTTATGTGGAGTAGTTTTATGATACTACCTCCAAGCCTTAGAACAACTAGTGTCTTCTACAGGATTCCTCTGCTGTGTGTTCAAGAATAACAGTTGCTTTGTGGAAGTAGCTAAATAACTTACTGATGCAGATTGCTTTCTATTTTAGGGATAAGGCGAATTGGCAGAAGGCCTGATCAACAGCAGCCTCAGGGAGAAGGCAAGCCTATTGAGAGGAGGCAAGAGAGACGGCCTCCTCGTGAACGCAGGTTTGACAAACCTGCTGAAGAAAAGGGTGAAGGAGGAGAATTTTCTGTTGATAAGTAAGAACTGAACATTTTAAGATTGATTGGCAGAGAAAATTGTATGCAGGATGTCCTCTGGTTATAGCAAGATGTTCTCTGATTAGTCTGTTAATGGGTTTTCATTAGGTAGTGCGGTATGTATTTGTCTTAATGTGGCATGCTTTTGTATTTTAATATGAACCTGTTTTAGGATATTGTGCTCCCCCTAAAGGATCAAAGTTTTGATATAAGCATTCTCCTGGATCATCTATTGTCACTGGAGGCACAGACAGCCTTGGTTGCTCAAAATGCATTTTATCTATCAGCATTGTTAGAAACTCAGATATGTAAGCTAATTGTCAAATGGCACCTTAAACCTAGGTTATGGTCGCCACAACGGGATGTCTAAACACCATGATTTTTTTTTTTCAAACAATGAACATTATTATTACTGTTATCATCATCATCATTTCTATACCACTTTATCTTTTAAAGAAAAGAAATCCAAGCAATTTGCAACACATTAAAACAGCAAATGAAACAACCCAGAATAAAACAAATTAAGCTTCATGGAAAATATTTCAGCTCCTTTTCTATGCTTTCCCTGAATTTATTTACGACCTTAATTTTTTTTTAGCTGCCCCATAGCAGAAGTCCTCTAGGAAGCCAGTGTGATATAGTGTTTAGAGTGTCTGACTAGGACCTGGGAGATCAGGGTTCAAATCCCCACTCATTCATGAAACTCACACTGTGACCTTGGGCCAGTCACAGCCTCTTAACCTACCTCACAGGGTGGTTGTAGGGATTAACTGAGGAGTGGCATGAACCATGTATTGCTTGGAGAAAAGGTGGGAAATAAACGCAGTAACTAAGCTCTTCTGTTTACCTGCTTAAGAAAGAGGTGTCAGTTGCCAACCTAGCATTGAGAGACCTTGCATGGCACCTGTGCCTCGTGAATTTCTAACACTGTATTTCAGCATATAGCTTAGCCACTCTTATTAACACTTGGGTAGTCTCTCATATGGATTACTGCAATATTGTATATGTATGGCTGCCTTTGAAAACAATATGGAAACTACAACTGGTCCAGAATAGGACTAAGATTACTGATAAGAACTGATGGATATAATCATACTGCACTTGAGCTTTGCCATCTACACTGATTTCCATTTTGTTTCTGGGGCCAATTCAGAATGTATAAAGCATAAAAGCCATAAATGACTTGGGGCCAGGGTACCTGAAGAATTGCCTTTTCATACACACACCCCTACATGAAGCCTAAGATCATCTGGCTTTATACAGAAGTCAAGTCTTAGAGGACTTCACTTGAAAATTAGTATACAATTTATTAAATAAATAAAACAAAATCTTCTCAAGCCTTCTGTGTACCCTGCCAAGTGAGATGGGGTGGGTGGCTTCTTGAGAGAGGACCTTTTTATTGTTGATACCACAGCTATGTGATGCTTTCACCAGAGAGACTTGCCTGACACCTACTTTATGGTCTTTTCAGTGTCAGGTAAAAATGTTACTTTCCTAGGCTTTTTAAATCAGCTGTACTTAAAAAATTCTCTGCTTCTTATTTTATTTCATTGCTTTGTACTGGTTCATGTTTTCATGCTGTATTTCATCTGTGGTTATAATTATTACTGTTACATTGACCAGAGAACGTTTGTTGTTGGGCAGTATGTGAATACTGAAATGGAAAAAGATACAAATAACATTAATAGCTCTTAAGTAGTTGCAGCATAATTTTAGAACTTGATATAATATTAAGAAAGATGATTACTAGCACTGCCAAGGTAGAAGTAGAGTTTTTAGTGTCATTCCTAATTTCGCTTTATTTTACAATAGACCCATTATTGATCGTCCAATGCGTGGCCGTGGTGGACCAGGTGGAAGAGGGGGCCGTGGTGGCAGAGGACGTGGAATGGGCAGAGGAGATGGTTTTGACTCCCGAGGCAAACGTGAATTTGATAGGCATAGTGGAAGCGACAGATCGTAAGTCTTAAACTCGTTCTTTTTTAAAGTGCATTCATATCAGGATAATACTTTGAAAATTTGCTTTTGAAAATCTATATTCCAACACTATTATGTTAACTCAGTTTTGTTAGTTCTCTTTCACATTCACATTTCAGTGGTCTAAAGCATGAGGACAAGCGTGGTGGAAGTGGATCGCACAACTGGGGAACTGTCAAAGATGAACTAACGTTAGTATTTTGTATTGAAATACTTGTTCAGAATAAACTAAATTATAAGAAAAGACCATGGGTATTTTAAGTTTGCAAGATCACATAATGAGTGAAAAAAATCAGGAGAGGTAGTGAAAAGGAGCAGGATTTCCCATTTCATTGTTCTGAGTAGCTCTTTACTGTTCCCCAAGAAGAGCAGATTTACAAGAAACATACTCAATTTTGATTCAAACATTATTGGTGATACCTAATAGTCATAGCCTGCATAGGCCCTTTAAAATCAATGGAGTTAAGGAATGCCAGTCCATTGATTTCAGTAGGTGGTCTCGTGAGTATGATTAATGTTGGATATCCCTAATGTATGCACCACCCATTTTTCTGGCTTAGTGCAGGATCATTTCCATTTACCAGTGTGTGTGTGTGTGTGTGTGTATATATATATATATATATATGCATCCTGCCTGTGTGCTTTCCTGAAGGGGCATCAGTATAGCAGCAGTATAGCAAATAGCAAGCATTTTTCTAAATTTGGAATTATAATTCTAGATCCCAAATTTGCCTCTGTTGTGTTGGCATAGAAAATCACCCATGTTTTTGTCAGCAATGCAGCTAGGGTTTGATGGTGGGGCAGTGTTTATATTGTGGAGTGAATATTCTTTGACATTCCACTGTAAGCTTTGGTATAATTTTGAGGTCATTGAATATCAGGTATCAGGTGGGTAGGCAGTGCTCATATGAAGCATCAGATATTTTTAAACTGTCTTTAATTCCAGTGATTTGGATCAATCAAATGTGACAGAGGAAACACCAGAGGGGGAGGAGCATCCACCTGCCGACTCAGAGAATAAGTAAGTATTACATTGCCAGAATCCTTGTTTGATCATTTATGAGGTTGCTAGGCTCCTTTCATGTCAAAAGGAGGTGGTTGGTTGTTTTTTGTATAAAGTTTTTCTTTTAAAAACAGGAAAATCTGTTTACTTATTTAAATTTCCTTTTTTACATGATTGGCAGACTCAGGTTGAGATGCTTAAGTGGAATTTTAGCTTAAAATCCTCAGAAATCTAAACTGGTGAAATGGTGAGTCTAGTTGAGAAGCTCTGGTCTTGAATTGGCAGTGATAAAACTGTGAAATCCAATGTTGGTGCTAGCTAAAAAGTAGCTACTTCAAAAACTACAGGATTGTGTGTGTAAATAAGGTTGTAGGATGGAATCCGATGGTGTCCATGAATGACAGCAAAGGACCTTCCAGAGCAGGTTTGTGGAACTGCATGATGAAAGGGCGAGGGAGCCCTGTTGTGCATCCACAAAGTGTTGGATTTCAACCTTCCTATTTGAGCCTTTGTACTTGCACAATGATGCTGAATAACCTATTGGCATTTTGAGCTAGCTAAACATTTCTTTCTTGCATAGTGGCTTGTCATGCATTTGCCACTTCGTTTTGACATGTCATAGATGTGCTGTGTAAAATCGTAAAATTGGATGAGAAATGGGGAGTGGAGGTGGTACTTAGGTGCAGGACTATCATAGACTGATGGGCATTGACGCAGATAACAATACTTACTGACTTGAACTTTTAAAGTGGAAAAGATCTTTCAGCAGCATAGGAAGCCTACATGCCTTGGTTAAGTGGCTGTTGTGCTGTAGATAACTCAGCACAATCATGCAATGCCATTATTTGGATGTCCTACATGTGAACTTGGCACATGCATGCACTTTGGGAGCTTTCAGGCAATACTTACTTCGGAAATACTTACTTGGTTACTATAGTATAAGCTGAGATTTCATTTAACATTAACTAACTTTAATTGTGAGCCCTTACCAGAGATCATGAATGAAACAACTTGATTCATTTTTTAAGTCAGGAGGTTCACAGCTGATCATTGATGTAACTACTTCGGACAGGTTTCCATTTTGTTTTGCACATAGCAAGCTGCTCATTGTTGTTGCTGGTGAAGTTTTGAAGCCATTTTCCTTTTTTTTCCCCCTCCCAAAATAGATATGGCAATGAAATTGGTATACTGATATATCAGTTAAGTCATAATGCCTCTGGGAGAATCAGCATTTGAAGCTGTTGTGCAAAATCTTGCTTTGGGGGAATGCCTTAGCACTGATGTACGTAAGACATACAGTCTGTGCTTTAACTTGTCTTTCTCCATACGGCGAGCTGTCATGACATGACTGGAGGGGGTGGGAGGCAAACCATTGAAAACTGTTAAGGTATTGTATCTGTTGGGAAAAACAATTGCTTTGTAATTGCTGAAGAAGGACTGGTAAGGAGGAATTAAGCAGAACTGTTCTATCTCTGTGGTCTGCTAAAATACAGATAAGGTTTAGCTGCCAGCTATTAGTTATCAACAATGTGTTGCACACTTGGATTAATGCAACTTGTCATGAAGCCAGAGTTTATGTGGTCACGTGATTTCCAATAGCACAGTATTTTGTCTGAATTGAAAATAACATCCATTAAAGTACAGCTTTTTGTGTGAACAATAAATTCTAGAAGTGTGGCCTTCCTGGTTGCTTCCAGCATTCCGATATTGAGACTTCACCATTCTGAGTGTGACAAAGACTATGAAATGAGTTTCCACCATTGTAAACTTATTTCAGAGAGAATGAAGTAGAAGAAGTCAAGGAAGAAGGTCCTAAGGAAATGACTCTGGATGAATGGAAAGCTATTCAAAATAAAGATCGTGCAAAAGTTGAATTCAACATCCGTAAACCAAATGAAGGTGCTGACGGACAATGGAAAAAAGGTTTTGTTCTCCATAAGTCAAAGAGTGAGGAGGTGGGTTTTTCTGGATTATCTTGTCTTCATGGAATCACTGTTGTAGAGTTGGAAGGAACCACAAAGGTTATCCAGTCCAACCCCCCACAGTGCAGGAATCTTGCCCAACATAGGACTCGAACTCGCAACCCTGAGATTAAGAGTCTCATACTCTACTAACTGTGCTATCTGATGTTTTCATTTTACTCACACCTTTAAGAGTAAGTAGTTTAAGGTATCCTATCAATATTTACATTCTCTATAGCAGATGTTTTGCCTTTACCATGTGCAGAAACCAGTCCTGTTTTAATCACTTTGAAACAAACGTTTCTAGCCTTTGCTAGAAAGGCTAGAAGTTTTCTCTCTTTGAGTGAAAACCATGGAGACCCAGCTGCTATCTAGTAAAGTCTCCAACATAGGTCAAGCTTAGTAAAGCTTTCAGTTCTTGGTGTGTGGGCATTCAAGGTCTAGATGAAACTACGCATTCCAGCTCTGCTGAATTCGGTGGGAGGTTTACCACTGGGATGTTGATTGTGTCCATAATTTATTGAAACCTGAATCCTAGGGCAAACTCAAAAATGCAGAATTCATGTGTGGGATACTTCATTCTATTATGGTACCACTTCTGATGAGTAATTCAAGCATGCACCACAGACACCATTTTATAAGTCCACAGAGAGCTAGCAGTGTCAAGGGAAAAGGTGCTTTTAGTTGACCTAGGCTCGGAAGTCCTGTTGTGAGTGGGGTTCTGCTTGCCCAACTCTCAGTACCTGGTGAAATATATTCAACTGTAGTAGCTTCCTGTCAGAAATTTCAATGTGATTAATTTTATGCTGGTGCAGATGAGGTGATACTTGCTAACTTGGAATTTTCATTCCAGTGATTTGGAGTTTACACTTATTTTTACCACCAATTCTCTCTGATTTTGGAATATTTGCTAAGGCACATAAATGTGGGAAATAATGGACACCTAACTGAAAAATCCATTGCATATTTACTTGGATGTAACTTCCCACTGTTGAGGCTTACTCCTGGTTAGGTTTGCTTGGAATTGCAGCCTTTAAATGTGTTTTACAGTTGTGCAGCTCCTTTAAGACCAACTAAAGATTACTACTTTATTCCATGGTTAGGAAACCAATGTAGGGACCTGATTAAGCCTGCCAGTCCTCCATATTTGGCCAAGCGACGCCCACTTGCCCTACACTTTGTTATACATGATGTCAGGTGTGAGACTGGTAAAAATCTGGCTTGTAGGTACTGCAGATCAGCTGATTGTCTGGTATTGTGAAGCACTTTGAAAGGTGCTCTGTTAGCAGCATCTGCTGTGCAGTTTGATTACACAAACTGGTCAGAAAAGGTCATCCGACATCATTCTGGCAATTGAGTCAGGTGATTGCCCCCACCCTCCTTTCAAACTTGTTCCACAGAGGAGATAACATCAGACCCATTTGCCAGATTTAGTTATTCACCCCATTATATTCTAATGTGATCCATTGTTCAGCCCCCCCATGGTTTCTCAACACTTAATTGGTGTTGATGTTGCAAAAAACAAAAAAAGCTCATAACCCTTAGGGTAATGTGCAAGCCAGAAATTAATAGCAGGCTTCTGTGTGCCCCTAAAATATGCTCCGGAGGGTTGGGGGACTCCTGGAACAGATTGGCGGGGTACAGGAGGAGAGGAAGGGGAAATGTTGCATTTGCTGATGTGATGTTAGATTTTGCCCAAATTTTCTAGTTGCATAATCTGCTTACTTCTTTTGCTCTGTCCACTTGTTTAGTCACTTGTATCCTATTGGGTTCACCTACCTTGAACCATAGAGCATGTTATTTTAATATGCAAATTCTCATTTACTTTTTTTCTCTCCTTGTGTATTGACATACAATTTGCATCAGACAAAGGGGGTGACAGAGATGCAAGGGAGTCAGATGGAATCCAATGAGGTACGAACACTATATGTGGCAATGTTGATGTTGTCCTTAAACAGTTATAAAGCATTAAATTTTTCTAAGTTGTGTGAGTGAGTGAATATATGAATATATTTCCTGCATGGTGAAGAGCAGTCTGTAAGTGCCAACAAATAAAATAAAAGGTAGGACAGGGAACCTGTGGACGGGTTCCTTACGTAATAGCTGTCTTCTGAAAGGAGCAAGGAATGAAGAGGAAAGGGCTTTGGAGCAGCTGCTCTTTGGCTGCCTGGATGGGGCCAGGTTGGTCTGCCTCTTGCCATGAAGTTCTTCCTGGGAATCAGGTGGTGCAGCCTGCCAGTGGCGCTGGATGCTCTCCACAGTGGCAAGAGGCCAGCCTATGCCTCACTTTGGTTCTGTAGGTCTAGGGAAGCACCTTTTTATTACACCTTCCCCAGTCATGGCCATGGGAAGCAGGTTCCATGCCTGAGACCGCTGTTGGCTGTGTTGTAAGTGAGGAGCCAACATAAAGGAGAAAGTCCCATTGTGTTCACTGCTTTTACTGTCCAGTCAAGTAAGTTTTGTCTCTCAGTTGATCTCTGTTCTGTGATCTGTATACTAAAGTTCATTGCCTGGCAGTTTGGATGCAGTAATACACTAGCAGGTATATGCAATCTTATTTTAGGGATTAAATTAAAAGATCCAAGCATTCTCCACCTCTGCCATAGGAGGACACTTCAGTAACACAAGCCTAACTGATAAGCAGAAGCTGAGAGCAGCAAGGTCAGTATAGGTCTGCTTGAGGCTAAACATAGATGTTTGCAGGATATGGGGCACTCCAGGAGACAGTGACTTTAAAAAGTACATGCTGCCTGTCACCTGATGGTTGGCACCCAGATGCCTGTTCTAGCTTGTAGAAGCCTTTCCAGTTAATAGAGATGCGTTGAATAGGAAATTTTAATTAAGTGGCAGGCAATATTTTGTTTTTGAGGCTTCTGAGCAATTTTCTCTGTATCACTTCTGAAATTCAAGGTGGTTTGCAGAGGGTGGGGCAGGCTTGGGTACGATTTACCTAATACGGCGGCTTCTACTGGATTCCACCATCCCACCTCTGCAATTTTTTTCTGCATGTTTTGGATACAATCATATCTCTTATTAGCTACTGAATGCTAAAATAGAGATGAATAAGTACCAATACCTGGAATTTGGTAAATATTTACTGTATATTGATATAGTTCCAGCATTCAGCTAAATAAGCAAACAATAAATGAAAGCACACTGTGCTTAGGTGTACATGTGCTACATTCTGCTTTTGCTCTTGGCTGTCCTTCCTGTAGTCAAAAGGGCTGGGGCCATTTGTGGCAGTTTTTGACCAGCATTTCATACAAGTGGTGTTTGAGTGCTGTAATCCCCCCTCCCCCACACCCAGTGTTGCATTCTGGGTTGTATCTGGTATTTAGTGAAAATACCTTTTCAGTGGTGGTCCTGACTTTCTTATTTCATTTTAGTCTCATGCTGAAGACTCTGCAATGGATCATCACTTCCGCAAGCCAGCAAATGATATCACATCTCAGCTGGAAATCAATTTTGGAGATCTTGGTCGTCCTGGGCGTGGTGGCAGAGGTGGAAGAGGAGGACGTGGACGCGGGGGAAGAGCTAATCGTGGAAGCAGAACTGACAAGGTAACAGTTCTTTCTATTTAAACGAAAGAGGTTTTTTGTATACCTGTTGATGGTACTTAAAAACAACATGAGCAGGTTTCAGCGACTAAGCTGCTGAGCAAGTTACCATAAAATTACGCATAGATCTATCCTCCTAGTCTTTCCTTTTACACCTGTGCCCTTTGTAGTGGAGCAAAAATTTAGTTTAAGAGGTGGTACTTATTTTAATATTGGTGGCTTTAATCCATGTGTGCGTGTGCAGAATACATTAGTTTGCCACCATGAGTTTGAAAGTTGACATAGGCTTGAATCCAAATCACCTGTCTGAACAGTAGACACTTCTGCAAGTACTTTGGGTGTTACTTAAGCTTTTCCCCACATGTGCATGACTGAGAACTATTTCATGGAATCTTTTACCTTTGTGAAATACTAAGGGATATAGCTAGAAGGAAGGGACTGAAACACCCTCTAGACTGAGCAGAAGCACCCTCATACAAATTTCGGTTTAAGACATTGTTTTCTTGACAAAATGTAGACATGCTCATGATGTTACCATGTATATTGCATGTGTTGTCTTTGCACACTTTGGATGCAACTTAATTATGCCTATTTCTCATGCAAAACATGAAGTTCCCAAATATGCTGGGTGGGTACCACAGCTTGCAAACAGCAATTGATACTCCAGTGATTTCTCGATCATAAGCGGGAATGTTTTTCTTTATTGGCTTTAATGTGTTTAAAAAGAGAGAGAGAGTAGTCTATTTTCACTATGAATTCAGTTGCTGGATTTCTCTTTTTGAAAGGCTTTTCCAGTAGAACTAATTGAGAATCCAGCATTTCTGTTTTGTGATTTTGCTCATTATGAATGTGCAGATCCACACTAATACTTGTGTCTTGACTGTGTTTCCTTCTAGTTGGTTAAGGAGTTTGATGTGATCCACACACCCAGCCAGGTTGGTGACTTGTTTATAAATCTCTCAGGATGTGTATACAATTGTAGCCTTAATCCTGGTCAGACATTCTTCACTGGTGAAAGTCAGTGTTAAGGATGAATTAAATCATATGTAACACTTATCAGAATTTCTGGTTAAAGTGTTAGTTTTTGCATGCATTTTGATACTCTTAATTTGTCTTTGTTGTTTGGTTAAAAACGACAACCTGCTTTCACATTTTTATTTGCTTACCTGTAGCATTTATAGATGACAACCATTTTTTAACCCTCCTGGACTTTCCCCCCGGCTTTGACATGTCTTTGTTTCCGTAATGCTTGCATGTCAGGGCTGTTTGAGGTTGTATTGGGTATAAAATAGAAACACTGTAACTGTAACCATGATGTTATTAAGGTATTGTTTTTAAAATTTAGACAGATCACAAAACCCACAGTAACAGTTTCCCTCCATTCTGGGAATTGTTCTTGGCATCTAGGCTATTGGGGTTTCTTAATGTCATCTAAAATGAAGCTACCCGTTTACCATCAGCATACAACATAACATAGCATTTACATGTAGGTTGTCTTGGAAGTAACATCTGGATGAAACTCTGTCCTTATGTGGAAGTAGGCAAGACTTCATAATTTACTATAATTTATTATAGTTACATGGGTTCTAAGAATCCAAATTTCTGCACACTATCTCCAGAAATAGGTTTTATAAATGGAGTGTTGCAGTGTTATAATGTGAAGCCGATCAAAGCTTGAAAGTCCTTGTCAAAGCAAGTGAGCTGTATCATATTGCAAATTTCTCCAACTTCATTTGGGGTTTATATTAAGATGTTACTGAGCTGAAGACAAAAGATACATGTGTAGAATTAAAGTATACAGCTCCCACATAAACAGGACTTGGCATCCTTTCTATCAGATCAGCATAGATTCAATTGTATCATGAGCACAGGTGTAAATATTCTTGCCAGTGATGGATTTTCCATTTAACACCAAATCACCTGTGCTCATGCCTCTTTCTCCTTCTACAACTGAAAAGTTGTGTGTGTGCAGTGTGTACAGGCATGGTCTGAAGGTAAATGATGCAACCACCTTGCTTGAAGCTAAGCAAGTCTGGGTCTGGTCAGTGCCTGGCAGGAGACTGACTGGAAATCCTATTTACAGTACGTTGAGTTCCGTGATGGAAGAGAGGTGTGATACAAATGTACATAATAACTAGAGCACACACTTCAAGTCTGGATTACTTATGGTTCCATACTACTAAACATAACAACAGAATAGAATTAAAAATCCCAGTTCAAGATTTTCTTGTACTGGACTTGTGTATGAGTGCACATAATTGTCTACAAAGTATCTGAAGTAAGTTCAGAGAAGGCACCAAGAAGATCAGGGTCTGGTAGGTTTATATTGGGAGGGGTGTTCCAAAATATTTCAAGGTTCTGCGCCATATAAGGATTTATAGGTCAAAACTAGCACTTTGAATGGGGCCTGGAAACTTATAGGCAGCCAGTGCAGTTGTGCCAAGTTCAGTGTTATATGATCAGTTTGCCATGAGCATATCAGCATTGGGTAGCTACATTCTGCACTAGTAGTAGTTTCCAAACAGCGTTCAAAGGCAGCCCCATGTAAAGCGATCAAATACTGAGGTTAACAGAGCATAGATTATTGTAGCTGGGTTATTCCAGGCCAGATAGGGTCATAGTTGGGCCACCAACCTAAACTGATGGAAGGCACTCCATGCCACCTGTGATGGCAATGGATATCTAGAGCAGGCTGCACACTGCTCAGCCAGACAAGACAACCACCCACTAGCAGTGACTGAGACTTGTCTAAATTAAGCTTCAGTTTGTTGACCCTCATCCAGTTCATCATTACAGCCAGGCCCTGATTCAGTGTATTAATTCAATGTGAACGTTCTGTTACCTTACAGAATGCCGCAAATGAAAATGGTTACGTGGACTCTCCAGATAACGTACATTCTGTTTTTCTTTCAGTCAAGTGCTTCTGCTCCTGATGTTGATGACCCAGAAGCTTTCCCAGCTCTGTCCTAAACTGGATGCCCTAAGCCAACCCTGCCCCTTGTTGGGCCCTCCTCTACAAGGCTTGCATGCTTAAGGATCCTAAAAACAACTTAAGAAATTAAAAAGGGGACTCTCATTCATACCATTCACACCTGAAGACTGAATTTTACCTGTTTTGAAAATGAACTTCTCTTGCTACACAGAAGCAACAATATGGTAGTCAGTTTTGTATTTAGAAATGTAATGGTAGCAGGGATGTTTTCATAATTTTTTTCAGAAATTATGCATTCTTCATGGATACTTTTTTGTATTGCTGCTTGAAAATATGCGTTTCCAAACTTGAAATATAGGTGTGAACAGTGTGTACCAGTTAAAGCTTTCACTTCATTTGTTTTTATTTTTTTAAGTTAGGTTTTTAGATGTTTTTCCCCGAACTACAAACAATTTAACTCTTGCACACTCTTTTAATACTGCTTAGCAGATTGTTTTCAGTCCACAGTCAGCTGGGATATGTACAAAAATAATTTGGAAAATTGTTAGTACTGTGTGGAATACTAACTTCTGAAGTATTTTAAGTTTTTAATACTTAAATTCAAACTTGGAAAAGTCAATTTTCTTCTATCTTTGGTAGTTTGTGTATTCAAAGTCTTTATACAAAATTGATATCAGATACTTGAAAAATAGTCAAAGCACATTGGTTTTTACTCAAATACCTTCTTATGAATCCAGCAGCTCTGTTTGGATAATTGGTCTAAGCCATTTTAAAAAACTCGGTGTTACACCTCTCATATACACCTCTTTTATCTTACTCCCTTTTTTTCTTCAACAAAACTAGTTGTTTGTTTGGTAAACTTTGTTTAAACTTGTTAATATTGTTGCTACCAAAAATACTTTGTAGACTGGAGCAACTTTTTTTTTCAAAACATGGGAGGTTGGGGAGCGGCATCTATTTCTAATACAGTTCGTTTAAACTACATTTGATATTTGTCTGGCAGTGCAGTATATCTACACAAAAAATGCACCTATGCTGGATGCATTCAAACACTTTCATTAGATGCAACCCTGGCCTAAAGAAGAAACCAAAGGGCACTGTGTGCTACTTGGGAGGAGGATTACTTGACTTGTGTAAGTTGGAGAACAAAGAGCATCAAAGTGGGACGGCTGTGGTCTCCGTGGGACAGAAACCAAAACCTCTCCACCTAATTGAAATGTGGATTTTTGCTCCTACTGTTTCAGCTCCTGGTCTCTGCTAGCTGACAAGTGAATGTTTTATTTTCAGAGGGCGATTGTAAGAAGTTCTCCTTCCACTGTAGAATTTTCTTAATAGTTTAACTTAATCCCTGTGAACAGGAATGTTACCACTTTCAAAACACAAAAGGACTTGAACAGCAAATAATAAAAAGGACTACTTAGGCTTTTTGTCTGCAACTTTTGTTAGGAGGCTAGAGCAGGAAATAACCCATCTATTTAAGGTTTCGACACTTTGAGTAGTGTGTGTAGCATTCATGGGTTTCTTAGGTAGAAAGCTTAAAGGTGATGCCCTATTTTTTTTAAAGCTACAGGATGGGCAACAGTATTGGACAGCTGAATATAAACTCAACGATTGCAGTGTTCAGTTGGTTTGCATTATCTGAATGATTTTTTAATGAACATTTGTTTACATAAGCAAAGGTTACTGTATTTTATCGGACTTCTGGTACACTCAAAATCATCCTTGCAGCCAGGAAGAAGAAGAAGAAGAAATAATCACATTTTTAACTGTATGAAATCGATTTTGCCCCTAGGAGGGTGGTTGTTAAAAATGCTAAGCATTCTTTCAAAGTTTTCTTGGTGCTTAGCATGGAAATATCCCATTTTGGAGGTAGTCAAATTTCTTGCGTCAACAGGTACATACGTTTTCAGTAGTTCTTTGTTCCCTGCCCCTCCTCATCTCATAGTTCAGAATATGTTGGAAAATAGTGGATGTTGTCTGTATCCTTAAAGAGCATTTTCATATAACCACTGTGTAAGTATTCTGGTCCCCAAAGACATGCTTACTGAATAGTTTTTTTTGCTGTTCTTTATATCCCCCCCTTTCCCCTTTCCAGGCTAATAATGACTTTTCCCACCCCAAACCATAGCCCTTTTATACATGTTATTCCTGAAAGCCACACATCCCATGCCATGCCAATTTGACACATGCTTTCTTCATCTTATAGCATATATGTAATATAGAACAGGCATAGGAAGGCTTTTTAAAGACGACCCATTTGTGTTCTTTTAATAGCTGTGTTCTTAATTTGTGTCAAGCTGTGAATTTTTTTCTCTTTAATATTGGTGCGTGTTAAATACAGGTTTATTTTCATGCTCTTTTATAAAAACGTAATGGAAGGTAGGCATTATGAATGCCTCTAATGTCAGGCTTCTTACTTGATTTCCGGCCTACAAGCCCCTAAATCTTTTTCCCACAGGATGGTGCCCTTGTGGATCCATCAGCAGCAGGTTTGGCAAAATACCTACCTGTATATTCTAATTCTAGTATTAGCTATTAACAAATTTGACCTCATTTTCTCCTGCTTGCTTATCCTGCTGTTGCACCACTGCATTTAGAGATGATGCCTCTCTTAAAAAATATGGGTCAGTTGAATATGAATTAATTGACTTATTTTAATGTTTGAGCATGAAAGTTCATCTTGTGTCAACTGACAGGCAGAGAAGTTAACCAAATTAGTAAAAGGGAAAAAGAAAAAGAGCACAAGACCTTCTAAGGTAACCCTAAGGATCAAAACTATGTCTGTTGTGAATATACATCGTCTTTCTGTTGGATGGGTACTACATCTAATGGTTGATTACATCTTGCCCGATGAGATTCACTTGCATACCATACCTGTTGACTTAATAAAAGCAGGACTGATGCTTCTCGCTGTCTTGAGTGCTCAGAGTATAGATATGCATTCACCTTCAGCTGAATACTAGTTGGGGTGTGAACTGAAATAAGAAAATAAATTGTAGTAAGGCAGCTGCCTTTTTGCAGGTTTGTGTGATCTTGGAAAATGCACAGATCACTGTATGGTAACGGTTTATTGCTGCTTTTCAGCAGACATGGGCAGAACATCTATCCTAATTCACAAGGTTTGCGGTGCACTGAAGAGAACTGTTGGCTACCCAGGGTCCTGCACTACTTCTTGACGCAATCCAGTTGAAGCTTTAGAAAAGCCACTAAGGGCTATGTAGATTTTGGGGGGGGGGGCAGCAGCTCTAAAAGGGATGCATTGGTTGTCTTCACTCTTACAAGAAGCATTATTTCACTTTCTTCTTGCCTGTGATTTCAGGTTCATTGCGTTTGTCACTGCTTCCACCAGTTTAGGCTTTTATTTCGTAATTGCACCTGTAAACACTTGGCCTTGGCTCAGTTTTGTAATTTGTTGTAAGTTGGGGGGCGGCATGCCTTGAGACTTGGCAATGCATAAGGGAAGGCGTAAACAAAAACAAGTTAAAGAATACTGGATAACTTTTGAGCTCTGCTTATATCTCAGAAACACAGTGCAGAAGGGGTGAATGAGAACCATATAGAAATACAATCTGTTAGCTCTTGCTGCCTTCTGGAGAGCTGTTAAATAGGCAAAACTCGTTTGTTGGGTTAAAAAACTAAAGTTGGGAGGGTACAAATAACAGTTAAAGGTCACCTTTTTTTTTTTTAAAGCGAGCTGACTCATAATTTAATAAGTGCCTTGGTTGAAAATCAGAAGTGGAGCTAGTATAATAGTATTGCAGCCACCACATGTTTGATTCTTAAGTGTGTGGGAACAGACTGGTTGCTTGGCAAGCAGAGGGAAAGAGTACTTTGCAGATGCTTAGAGGTATTTTTTTTCCTAGTTCCATATTTTAGAACTCAAGTCCTGGTTGAGAAAAAACAAACTTGTTTGTTTTTAAAGCCTTAAAGCACTTATGCATTAAACACTAACCAGTGACGACCTCTCTCTCTCTTTTGGTAAATTGTGCATTGCTATATATTATTACATTTGGTTGTATGAACTATATTTCAGCTTGTCTTTAAAATTTTCTGAACTTGGACAGTGTTTTATGTTCTAGGCTGATGGGGTGGACGAGACTTAAATGAATAGCTGTGTGCAGAAATACTCTGCATTTTCTGGAATTTGCAGGCTGAGCCTGTGCATAAGCAATTTTCCTACTGATTTGAATGGGGCTTTGTGTAAGTACTGTATTTTTTGCTCTATAAGACTCACTTTTTCCCTCCTAAAAAGTAAGGGGAAATGTGTGTGCGTCTTATGGAGCAAATGCAGGCTGCGCAGCTATCCCAGAAGCCAGAACAGCAAGAGGGGTTGCTGCTTTCGCTGTGCAATGATCCCTCTTGCTGTTCTGGCTTCTGAGATTCAGAATATTTTTTTTCTTGTTTTCTTCCTCCAAAAACTAGGTGCGTCTTATGGTCTGGTGCGTCTTATAGAGCGAAAAATACGGTACTTTGAATTGCATGCAGCTTTAGTTGGGTTGGTTCATTTTGGTTTTGACTTCTCACTCATTTTTATTTTCCTCACCTGTCTTTGACCAAGTTGTGCAGCTCCCCTGGTATATTTTTAATTGGAATCATTGCTCAGTAGCTCCAGATGTGAATTGATTCCAGTAGGTGTGGTCACGCAAGTGTACACTTTGAAGGATGCAGCATATTGTCACTGGCTCTGCCCCCTGAGCCACCAGTTTGGCTCTTAATTGACAGAACCCAGAATTCTAGTAAAAAACAAACAAACAGAAATCTGAAATCTGCCTGCCTCTGCTATGAAAATGCATACAGTGAAGCTTTTGAGGTTTTGAAATAGTTTTCACTTGTGCGCACAATAAAGTAGACAAGCTGTACAGTAAGCTCTAGCATATTAAAATAATGGGAGGGGAGACAATTATGAGCAAATAAATATTTTTAGAAGAATATAGACTGCAGAGCACCATAAAGTCTTAGTGTTTGGAAATCAATGAACATGTATTTCTACAAAAAATAGGATGTGTAGATCAAATTCTGTTCGCAATTTTGCATACAT